TAAAGGATTATGAGAGCTGAGGTGTGCAAGAAGTTGAGACTTGCTTGATGAGGGCGTGTGACAGGGAGAAGAGCGTGTATGCATATTTCGAATGTTTTTGAGTTGGTGGGATTAGATTGCTACAATGAGATCTCTGCTGACAAACTCTGCACGTTGGGCCTGGCATATTTGACGCCTCGCATTCGGGGTCAGAGAAGAAAGGGCACCAGGATTGCTAGCATGTTTGGAATGCAAGCTTTTTGTGCTTGTTCCTTGCGCACCTACTGTACAGTAAATGGTTTTGGGAATCTGGTAGATCTTTTGGTAGGTATGAAGAGATTGGGATCTTGGCTTTGGAGGTTCCTTGAAACGATCCATCGCTATTAGGAGGCCATCGCTACTAGGGTGGATGCCATCGCTCTTAGGTTGGAGGCCATCGCTACTAGGGTGGAGGCCATCGCTGTTAGGTTGGAGGCCATGGCTACTAGGGTGGAGGGAATCGCTGTTAGGTTGGAGGCCATCGCTACTAGGGTGGAGGCCATCGCTACTAGGTTGGAGACCATCGCTGTTAGGTTGGAGGCCATGGCTACTAGGGTGGAGGGAATCGCTAGTAGGGTGGAGGCCATCGCTACTAGGGTGGAGGCCATCGCTACTAGGTTGGAGGCCATCGCTCTTAGGTTGGAAGCCATTGCTATTAGGTTGAGTTTTGACACGTGGCTCGACTGCAGAGACCTGCGCAGGTTCCCCATGGCTGTGCCGCTACTCGCACCTGTGGCCCTCATGCCTGCCCGGTGTGAGGCAAAATGCTTGTGGGTCAACAGTTCGCCCATCAATCCTTCAAGTATGAGTATGAGTGTCATGAGCCGAAGATCTGATCAATTGGGCTTTCTTTTCCTGTTGATTTCATGGTCGTGGTCCCTCCAACTTAAGAAGTGTGCTTTGGCTGAATCCAACACGAAAGGGATCCACTGCGGACAATCAAGTAGTCTGCTGTAAAGAGCAGAAAGGGTAGACGGGTAGACTTCCAACCTCTTCGTCGCAAGCGCAACCAGTGGCTTTGAATCTTGATGCAGATTCGTCACCTTATAGGAGCAAGGCAAGGATGCTACTAGGAGCAAAGGGCATCGCTACTAGGAGCAAGGGCCTTACTACTAGGAACAAGAAGCTAGTAGAAACAAGAAGCTTTAATTATATATAACTTAAATTAGAATCAACATCAGTGCATTCCTCGGACGATTGGGAGGCCGTGGTGGCGCCAGAGGTTATATCGATCAGCCTGGGCTCGGCCGGGGCTTCAAGCTTTGGAAGGAAAGATGACACACCAAGATGAAGCGGTTCACTGGTGGCCACAGTGGTAGTGTGGCAATGATGGTTGTTCATGAAAGTCCAATTTCCCAAGAAGTTGCCCGCCTGGCCGAAAAACATACTGTAAGCTTTAATTCTTTCGGTATGAAGGCCCTGAGGCTGTAAAGATGGCACAAGGGACACGCTCGATTCTGCAGTGTGATTTTGAAGTCGGCTTTTGAGATCGTCCTCTTCATCGTACTACTCCTTTTTGGCATGGTCTTTGGCTGGGAGCTCAACACAAGATGTCCATTGGTTCGGGCATTGCCTTAAGGTTGGAGGCCATCGCTATTGGTTAAGCTTCCCAAAAAATCTAAGAACCAAATCATGAGCGTGAGCTATTCTGTGCCCATACTAGTAGCTCAAGTAGCTACTAGCGACTCCCTAGCTATATACTTCCTACCTCTCTACTCGCGGCCAAAAAAAAGGCAGAAAGAAAGGTCTACAAATTGGTTTGCTATTCGGTTGTCGTGTCAGGTCGGAACATTGCTGGCTTTCTGGACTCCTTAGACAACATCGAGGGATCTCGTTGAGAAAATGGCGCTGTTGGCTCTCATTGTCCATTAGAACTTGGCTTTACTCTCTGACTTACAGGTGAAGAGGATCGTTACAGAGTTTCGGCCATGTAACTTTAGTTTATCGCTGCTCACGTGGAGGTTTTCAGTATAGCGGGCAACTTGAAGGCTCTCAAGGCCCTCTAGGCTTGAAGGGTGCCTCGCAGGCAAACATAGGTATGAAGGGCAATCAGGTTAAAATTCTTTGCGGAAAGGAGATCAAATTGATACTAAACAGACCTCCATGTCCTTACGCCTTTAGTTCTAAAATTATATGATGATTTCACAACTAGCTTGCAAATCGGATGCAGACTTTGGATACTTCTATTCTGTTGGACGAGCATGTGGCTCAAGTGAAGGATCAAGCAGCGTAGGCGTAGAATCATGGGGTCGAAATCGGCAGTTCGAGCTGAGACTCGTCGGTCAGAGTCAGCCGACAATGTGGAAAGCCGTTACGTACCCAAGTCAGCCAGTCGCAGTCAGGCCATTCGAAGCCGAAATCGTCCACCAGTGGATACAGGACTTCCCGTGCAGTCAGCTCCAGGCGAGCGGCAAGGCACCAGGTAGTGCCGTAATGGTGAAGAGCTGATTGAGAAAGGTTGAGCGTCCTGTTCCGAGCATTCTCTAGAGTTTTACGCGTGGGGGTTGCCCGCCTGTCTCGACACAGTTGGATGTCAAGAGAAGGAACTTGTCGTGCAGGGCTGAAAGGCCGTAATAACAGCCACAGTGGAGGGTGGGAGCCGCACCAAACCTTAGAATCCTTAGAAAGTTACCCCGTTGAGGGGTAACTTTTTGAGGTTGCACCATATGGTACTCAGACTTGGGCCGTCCACATTGGGTCAAGTCTGACTCAATGGCCCCATCAAATAGGTGGGGGGTGAGGTTTCAGGCCATGGGCCTCCTTCCAGATCGGGCAAGTCGATAGCTGGTACGGTCTGTCGACAACTGAGCTAGACTCCTTGCAAATCATGGCCATGATACCCTTGGAAGTTTTCGAACAGTCATTGACAGTCATTGAACACCGCTTCACGTGGGGGCAGGCCGCTTACTGACACAGAGAAAGCCCAATGGAGGCTATTGCAAAGTGCAGTGAGAGTCAACTACGGAAACGCATCTTTGTTTTCAGCAGTCGCCGCACCAGCACGATCAGCAGCGCCAGCTGTTGACAGTGGAGCCACAGTTGGAACGAAGCTGAAATTGAAGACGAGCTTAACCGACCAAGGGTGTGATTTTGAGGTTGAGATGTTTTTTTAACACAGCTCTTCAGAAGATGCGATCACCACTTTTGCATTGGTTGAAGGAGATGTTGGTCCACTAGTTGTGGCCCGCAGTACGGCGCAACAATTAAACAACATCTGCGACATTTGTGTTGTGCTGGTGGCTTGTTGTTGGGTTGAAGGTTGCGTGGCACAAGGGACTGTTGGACATGAGATTGAACACAGATAGGTGCAAAGATCCATGTTGACGATGTTGCGCAAACAGTCAAAGTCACAGTAACACAAGTTGGAAGATTTTAGACGGCTTGCAGACTCGCTGGAGAGACGGCCGTTGGTGTCGCTCAAGCAGCTGCAACAGTTCGTTGGCAAAATGTCCTGGGCATCGGGTTTCATCAGTCCGTTGAAGCGATTTGTGAGCATGATGCACGCAGCAATGGCCTCAAGAACAAAGCCTGGAAAGAACAATCTATGCCCATTACAAATGTAGCCTGGACTTCATGGTAGACGCCTCACC